CAAAATTTCCTGGACGTCCAGGCTGGGCTTATGCTTTCAGGCTGCCCTGTCTGGTACGCCGTATCTACGTCGCCCTGAGGGGCCTCCTGGTCACCAGGATATCCCCTCTTGCTGAGGCATTGAGCAGGATGTATAGGTGACATTTGCGAGAACCTTCTTGTTTAATGCTGTCTCAGGCAGTGCTCCTCTCACCTTAGAGGGTTGTATTTGAGCTTGCCTCTCCCATTTGGCTCAGTACTTCCGGGTATCTGTGAACAGATGCTTGGGAAGCTCTTAAATTCATGCTATGGTAAGTGCACACGCTAAGCTTTGTGCACTTTCTGAAATCCACATAGTGGTAAGTGTGCACGCTGAACATTTTGCGCACTTTCTAAAATCCACATAGTGGTAAGTGTGCGCGTTATACTTTGCGCACTTTTCTGAAATCCTGTATGGTAAGGGTTATGCGTTATTAGCCTCATTCCCTTTCTCTGAGTTGGCTTAGACTCCAGTACTCGCCTTGGGCTCCACTCAACCAGTGTTGACACATTTTTGAAGCATCGCTCCCCTCACCGTTGAGGGTTATTGTGAGCATGGTGCTTTCTTTCGAGCGTTTGAATTCTCTCCCTTTCTGAGGAGTTGGATTCCTCACTCCGTGGGCTGTTCTCATGGTAGTGTTTAGCAGTGCTCTCTTTTATCAAAGGGTTGCCTATGAGTATGCTACTCCTTTCTGAATTCGGAGTTCTCCTCTCACGTGAGAGTTGAGTTCTCTGTTTTTCCCAGAGCACCTGGAACCAGCAGCATCAGGCAAACTAGGCCCTTCCTCTGCCTCTCTGATGTGCTGAGTTTTTTTGGCTAGCTTGCAGTACGCTTATCCTTCTGATTTCTAATGATCGTGCTGTAGGTCGAGCCCCCTCTCGTTCAGAGCTGGGTGTTGTGCTCCCTCAGCTAAGGTAACTTACTGCTAGCCGTTCCAGCATTGGAACATGCTGGAGGTCGAGCCCCCTCTCATTCAGAGCTGGGTGTTGTGTTCCCTCAGCTAAGTAAATTACTGCTAGCTTTTCCAGCATTGGAACATGCTGCAGGTCGAGCCCCCCTCTCGACTGAGAATTGGGTGTGTTGCTCCCTCAGCTAAGTAACTGCTAGCTATTCCAGCATTGGAACATGCTGTAGGTCGAGCCCCCTCTCGATTGAGAGCTGGGTGTTTTGCCACTCCAGCATTATAAAGCCTTAGATCGAGTTGATGACTTCTCAAACATAGCGTTTTGGGATGCACCATTTCCATCTATGGGCTGCTCTTTCAGAGTGCCACAAGGGCCCCTTAGAACGGTATTTTTACCGTCTAAGTCTTTGTACACTTTCTAAAATCCACACGGTGGTAAGTGTGCACGCTAGTACTCTGTGTTCTTTCTAAAATCCTGTATGGTGAGAGCTTCGTGCCCTTTCTTGAGCTGGTTAAGCCCCGGTTCCGCCTTGGGCACCACTCCACCTTGTATCCTCCGGATACCCACTTTTAACAGGGTGTTGCTACTAGGGGTCTGTTGAGACAGTTCCTTCAGCATATGCAGAGCATGCGGTAGCCCCTGTGTGACAGGCGAAGACTTAGTATGATTCTAGGCTCTTGGTTGTATTCCCTTAAAGGAATCTATTCCTGATTCTAAGCATTGAGCTCTTTGAGTTGCCCAGGAGTTCTGGCCCTAACAGGTAAGTTTTTGGGGTATGTAGCCTAGGCAGCTATGCAGATGATACCCAGATTTACCTAGCCTTATCTCCAAATGACTACAGCCCCATTGACTCCCTCTGCCAATGCATTGATGAAATTAACAGTTGGATGTGCGAGAACTTTCTTCAGTTAAACAAGGAAAAAACTGAAGTCATTGCATTTGGAAACAAAGATGAAGTTCTCAAGGTGAATGCATACCTTGACTCTAGGGGTCTAACAACTAAAAATCAAGTCAGGAATCTTGGTGTGATTCTGGAGACAGACCTTAGTTTCAGTAGTCATGTCAAAGCTGTAACTAAATCAGCATACTATCATCTCAAAAACATTGCAAGAATTAGAGGTTTTGTTTCCAGTCAAGACTTGGAGAAACTTGTTCATGCCTTTATCAGTCCAAATACCACGAGTCATCTTCAGCTACAGTGACGTCACCAGCGAGGCTCAGTTTGTCCAGTTCACCTGAATATGCGTACACCTTCAAACAGGTAAGGGCAACAATCTTTTTTTGTAATGAGATCATTTGGTTAACGGTATTATTTTAATTATTTCAGTGTTTCTGCATCACGTTACATGAGGTCATGTGTTAAAATGGCAGCGCATGGGCTGCTCAGTTAGCACAGCTGCTAGCCTACCATTGACATTAGCCTAAGCTCATTTCTACTGCATATAGACCTGTTGCAAATTGAAATAAATAAATAAAACCGTTTTTAATCATGTTGTGACATGGGTCTTCAGCTTTTAGACATGGCTGATGACAGCACAACAAATCAACCAACCCGGTATCGCGTGATGATCGTGATCGTGTAAAATGTCAGTAATGTGCTTTTAGTTATTATGCCACCCGCAGTTGGAATCAGCTTCCAGAAGAGATCAGATGTGCTAAAACATTAGTCACATTTAAATGCAGACTCAAAACTCATCTGTTTAGCTGTGCATTTATTGAATGAGCACTGTGCGATGTTCGAACTGATTGCACTATATTATATGTATAATCGTTTTCTTAAATTCATTTTAAACTTCTTAAATCAATTTTTTTAAATAATTTTCAAGGTTTTTAAATTCCTTGTTTTATTGTTGTGATTATTGTTTTTATTTTATTTTATGTAAAGCACTTTGAATTACCATTGTGTATGAAATGTGCTATACAAATAAACTTGCCTTGCCTTGCCTTGCCTAGGCCTTTGGCCGTAGGGGATAATGTCACTGACAGCCATCTTAACGTCCCTGGGGCAACTCCCATAGCAATATGGTAGAGTTGGTACTTAGTGCTCATTCCCCATAGCGACCCCTAGAGGACGCAGTTCGAAGTTCCCATGTAAGGGAATGTCTCAGGTTTCTTATGTAACCATGGTTCCCTGAGTAGGGAACGAGACACTGCATCCTCTAGGTTTCCTGCCATGCTTCGGATGCAAGCTTCAGACGAAGAAGTGGATGTTGTGTTCTCCCGGTGCCTATTTATACTATAGTCGCACCTGTAGTGACGTCATGGCTGTCGCCGGCCAACGTGTTGTTGGTGTTTTTTCTATGTATGCTTCAGACACGGGTCACGACGAGGCATTCCCCATAGCGACCTCTAGAGGACGCAGTGTCTCATTCCCTACTCAGGGAACCATGGTTACATACGTAACCTGAGACGTTCTCCAAAAAGACGAGAATGGCTTGGAATACCTAACCTTGGCACATAACCCAGAAACAAAAAATCACAAAGATCCTACTGCATCTGACAGAGAGAATTTATGAGGATTTATGTTTGAGTGCCCCGGTGACCCACTTTGTCCTGTGGAAAGCTTCAAAAATACCCGTCAAAGTGTCCTGTCAACGCCGGAGCCGTTTATCTGCATCCCAGGCGCATCCCTTTGTGCAAACTCGAGGACACTGAAGTGTGGTTCACCAGGGAGCCGATGGGAATCAACTACCTCGGCAATATTCTAAAAAATATTTGTGAAGAGGTAGCTAATATATTTAATAGATATTCAATTTTTCACCCTATGAATTCAAACTGTTTGTAGATAACCTGTAATATTTTCCAAATCTAAATTGTCTTTCAGGTGGAAGGTATCACTGAAATTTACACAAACCATAGTTTGCGGAGCACTGCCGTCGGTCGCCTCTCTGACGCCGGACTGGAGAGTCGCCAGATCATGTCAGTGATAGGCCACCAATGCGAGGCTAGTTTGCGGTCATATTGGGCTCCGTCTTTGTCGGAGAGGAGGAAGTGGAGTGACATTCTTACATCTCGAGCCTCAACAAGCAAAGATCCATCCTCATCCATGCCTAAACCTAAAATAACCCTACCTAAAATAATTCCCTAGGTGGGAATATATAAAAAATATCTAAAACAAAAAATATTGTAAAATATAGTGCATTTAACTTGTTGTTAAAACTTTGGAATATGTTACCAAATTTTAAGCAGTCAATATTCTTGATAAAAATTAGGCTCAACCTTTTATTTGATTGTAAATCAAAGCTAGCTATGTAACATTAAAGATTGCATTTTGATGTAATAAATGCAGATTTAATTCATGCCCAGTCAAGACAAAGATGTTGGTAGATAAATGTGCTTGAGTGACCAGCTGGAGGTGACGTAATGAAAACACACAAACTACAAATGAATTTGCTTGCTTTATTCAAACACTATAACATGTTACATAGACTGAATGATGTTAAAACTTAAAGATTGCATTTTTCATGTCATAAATGCAGATTTAGTTAAAGATAATTGTCAAGATGCAGTAAAAAAAGTGAAATGTTTTTTTATGCAAAACTGAATCAAGGAGTATTACAGCAAAATGATTTCAGTCATTTTCTATCGCACTTATGATCTTCTTTTCAGTACTTATTGGGAAGGCCTTTCGGTCTGTAGCGGTTGGGGTCACCGCCGTTACGTTCCCAGCGATTGGCATCCTGGTCAGCTTCAGAGTCCACTTTACCTCGGCCCGAATCACCCAATCCCTGAAGAGCCTCTCTTGCATTACTGCACATATCAGAACAGTAATTTAATTACATAAGATAATATTCAAAATTCTCAAAAATAATTTAAACATCCATAATAGCACATTGAGCTGCTGTTGCATTATAGTGCAAGGGAGCAATCATTCTTGCTCAGTATAAATGCTCAAATGAATCTCTAAGGAATAAAATCATGTCAAATCTGACATACCTGATCACTTCGGCTGCCCATTTGCCTCCGGGGCCCCTGCTTGCAGCATCATAGTTCCTGCGTGTATGGAAATACTTGTCTGAGTTTTTCCAGTTGGCCTCCCTCATATCCCGGTAAGCACGAAACATGTCCTTTGCACCTACAAAACACAGTTAAGTGGTTAAAATCTGCCTGCAAACTGACTCAACTGAGTGCATGACAAGAGTAAACGCAGATAAAAAAGAAAAAGTGACCTCCAATGGCTTGTCCTGGGTATTGGTGCCATTGCGCCTGGGTCTCGACCACCAAAACCAACACCAGCACAGCAAGAATAAGCTTCATGATTACAGAGCTGAACATATAAAGATATAACAGTGAGCAAAGTGTGACAGTAAACTGCTCCGAAGTGTGATTCGAAACACCCATGTTACGTGACTAAGGCGAATCAAAGCATCAGGGCATTTCACAAGCGTTTCGAGACCCAAATCTGCTTTTGATCGACAGGGTCAGAAACAAACCACACAATCGCACATCTGTCTTAACTCCTGCAAAGTATAAAAGTATAAAAGTGGAATTAATGCAGCAGAACAATTAATATATTTAAATAAAAATAGTTATAGCCTATGTAAAAAATGCCAGGTGTTGTGGCTTGATGTCTTTTATTAATAATTTAATAATTAATTTAATAATAATTTATGCATTTAGCAGACGCTTTTATCCAAAGCGATTTACATTCCATTCAGGCTATACATTTTTTACCAGTATGTATTATTAATGTTAATTTTTTCATGACCAAAATAACATTCACAAAGAGTTAATTCTGTTGTCAGAAAGATGTGACAACACATTACAAGAACAGAACAATAAAAACGCAACTTTCAAATATTTATTATACATATATGCTTCACTCGGGATTCGAACATAAAGTGACAGGTTCTGACAACATGCTAGTCATGCACACTTCATCCACATGGTGGAATGATGAGCACAACTTATATGTTATATAATTTGTCAGTTTGCTTAACTGATTTGTTGTCAATGCGGCTTCAGAGCAATTCTTGAAAATGACCACTAGGTGTAACCGTAGAGACGGCACATTTGCTAAGACTGTTTCAGTGTTTCATGAAGCCTGGCTCTGCTCTACTAATTTAGCTTAAAGGGGTCATTTGATGCGATTTCAATTTTTCCTTTCTCTTTGGAGTGTTACAAGCTCTTGGTGCATAAAGAAGATCTGTAAAGTTGCAAAGACTAAAGTCTCAAATCCAAAGAGATTTTCTTTATAAAAGTTAAGAGTCAACCCACGCCTACCTAAAATGGCTCGTTCTAACACGCCCCCACATCTCTACGTCATTATGTGAGAAGATTTGCATAACGCCGCCCAAATGTTCACGCAAAGAAAGAAGGCCTAACTTTTATTCTCGCTGTAGTATTGTTGTTGCCGCCGCCACCATGTTGTGGAGACGAAACTACTTTGTTTGGCCTTCCAAAAGAGGACGATATCCGCTTCGTCATGCCT